ACGCTCCTAAAGGAAGAAGGGGTTTGTTCTCTTCATTTTAACACCCCTAATGATGGGCAGGCAGTGAGCACTCACAGGCACTTTCTCCACTGCTGCTGGCCAGCTGGCAGGATGTGTGAACAGACTGGCAAGGGAAAAGGAGTAGGGGACATCAGTCACCTCTATTATCCAGCCCGGAGATGCTGGACCTGGAACCAGAAGCGCTCCAGAGAAAACAAGCACAACATATGGCTTCACCTCCAAGCCCAGTGACCTCGTCTGCAAAACTGGGACCCAGGAACCAGACCAGGATGACTTTTTACCTCTCTACAGGTGGACACGTTTTGTAAAAAATTGAATCACAAGACCCCACAAACCCACTGGCTCTGACTTCCAAGACCCTATAGAGTACCCTCCTCCACAGGTGGCCCTTTTCCTGGTTTCTGCTCCTACCAAGGCCACCCCACAACTAGTTACCCTGCTGCCAGAGAGCACACAAAAGCAGTGAGCAACCAGCTGTACTTGAGAAGCCCAGAAAAGCATCACTAAGTCTGTCCGGGTTGAGCATGGGCTCAGGGCCTCGGCCACCAGGTAGACTCTGGGGAGGAGGCAGACATTCCATGCAGGTAAAAAAGGCACAGGTTTGAGAAGTGCAGTGTGTCTGGGTTCCTGGGGGCCTGGCTAGGGCACAGCGGAAGGATGCAGGCCATAGTGCCCCCCCACGCAGGCTTGACAGTGCTCACAGAAAATGGCCTGGGCACTTCTGCCTTCATGGCACCCTTCCTCCATCAAGAAATATTGAGAATCATACTTTTTCACTGTGTTGGTACAAAGATGACTGTATTTAAACATATATATTAAAATATTTTCTTTGAAATTTCCTTAAAAGTTCACTTTTTTTTTTCTTAAAAGAAATAAAACACTTGCGGGGCCCCTAAAAGTACCCTGGGCCTGGGATTCCCACGCCTGATGTATAAATTGGCCCTGCACTGGGGGGTTTGTTTGATTTTTTTGCTACAGTTCAGGGGAAGAGAGGTGTACCCGAAATAGGTAAAGGGGCTTTTGGTCGCCATGGTTCTGATTTGTACCACAAACACGCAAGCTCCAAGAGGAGTTCCAAAAGCATTTAATCCTTCCTCGTGATTCCGCAGCGCCCCTAAGCGCCTGGCAAAGCAGCGGGGTCTCCGGCCCCGGATGCCCCGCACACGGCGATATGCATCCGCTGGGCTGGCTCTGAGCTGAGGACTTCTCCAACGCAAGGCCGCACTGAATGCCACAAAGCCACACGGCCACCGCCGTCCAGCCAAATTGCTTCCAGGGCTGAAAGGCTGGCATGAGGCCACTGTTGGGCGGACGCCTGTGAAACCAGGTGCCTCCGCGAGCTACTCTCGGCCCTTAGCCCTGCAGCCCGACCCCGACCGGGCCAAAGCACGCAGCGCTGCGCGGACGCGGTCCCGGGCGGCGACTGCGACCACACAGCCGCACGGCTTCCAAGGCGCTCCGAGCCCAGGTAAGTCCGGTCCGCGCCGGTGGGGGACGCCTGGCCGCCCGCGAGCCGTCTCGGGCGCGCCCCCACGGAGGTCCCACAAGTGAAAGAGGTCGCGGGGCGAC